AACACTCCACGATTGTAGAGTGATATTTGTGAATTATTTCTTGAACCACACTTTCGAAAAATTATTTATCATTTGTCTTAAACTTTCGCGTATATTTGACAGCTGATAGTTGAAGGGAGACGGAAACACCATCATTCTTCCAACAGGTTAGTTATGGTATTTTGGTTACCAACAGTATTGTCTCGCGTCCCTGGATATCTAGCATTAGGAGATACACCAAATACCATTGTAAGATATGTTAGCCGTTGTGGTTCAGGACATATTTACATAATTTACATAATTATTACATTATTTCAGATATTCATATTATTTTACATCAGATCATATATTTACAATAGTACACATTACAAATACACTTTATTTTCATGTTAATGAGTTTGCAAACTGTATAGGTATTTAAGAAGTGGCTTCTAGCCAAGAGAGAGAAAAGCTTTCCTGCTGCCCTGTCACGACTTTTCAGTCAGTTCATGTCTGCCTTTAAAGCCATAACTTAATTCCTGCTGATATACGAAACGTATTGTAGTATTTGCATTTCGGTCACTATATACGTAGTGTCAAAATGCCAATCTAAGCGTTAATAGTATCTGTACAGAGTTTAAATTTAATTCTTATTTAGTTTAGTTATTCGAATATTTCTTATTTTCTATGTTTTAGACCAAAAGTGTTGTTCTCTGTATCCCGAAGTGCGGGAGCCCCTCTACGCTGTGAGAAATAAAGGGTAAAATTAACACTTCTCATTTGTGTTGTCTCTTCCACGGACACACGAACATAGCTTGAATAAGCTCCCTCCCTGTTCCCACTCAGGATTACTAGATGTTTGCCAAGGCAATTAGAAGGGGTAGCGGTCCTGGCAAAGTGATGTTGTGTTTCTCGTCTACTTGTGTGATGCAGTACTGCCTGCGGTGCGATTTGCGCTTTGAGTTTCAGCTGTTTTTTTCTTTCAAGTATGAAAGTGGTCAAAGAGCTGGTTATGGATAATGAATACTTTCATGATGATGCCCTCCTTCTTTAATATGTCAGAAGTTTCATTTCCATTTATCCCAGTATGTGCGTTCACCTAGGAGAGCGTGATGTTATGATGTTGATGAATCCATATATATCTCTGGATTTGCATAACTAAAAAATAACGGATGTGTGGTAATGATTAAGTATGAAACAGAAGTACAGAAACGCTGTCTGCGTGGATGGTGATATCCTGTAGGTTTTTCTGAATGATATACTGGAAAGCTCTGTAAATAGCTACTGCTTCTTCCTGAAACACGGTGTTGTTGTCGCTTAGTCTCGGCTTCCGTAGGTGTAAGGTTATTTTCTTTATGGCTGAGGAACTAACGCGCTGCCAACTTTGTCTTCCATGTGTGAGCCATCCGAGTATATAGTCGGAGTATTGTTGCTGAGAATGTTATAATAGTACAGATATATGTTCACATTTTGTCCTTTAAGGTGATGGGCGAACATGTATCATCAACACTGGCATTTCATAATTGGTTGGATAATGTCACTCATCAAAGAAGCTTGTGGGAGTGCCAAGATAAAATTCTGCTGTTTCTTGCTCAACAAGAATACGCAATGGTGTTAGACCTGCCTGGATATTTACCATGCAGTCGCAACTGGGCAAAATGCCCATGTGACGTTTAACGCGAATGCGTACTGAACGTTGAGAAAACATTTTACTTTTCTCTTTGCATCGGTTGGGGCCAGACTGCTGCAATATATGTAACTGTCCTTTTGAATAGTTGAATAGTCTTTTGAATGTGGAAACCTAGTTCCCAACTATTTCCTTGAAATTGTCGGAGTTTTGCGCAGTGTGGCTAGTACGTTGTTTAAGTTCCTTAATGTGAGGAATCCAAATCAATCTTTGATCTCATTTTAATTTTTTCACGGTTTTAATCCTACTACTGTTGATGGTAATTCCTCGACTAATGTATTTCTTTACTTCCTTTTTTTTGGAATTATAAGGAAGTTGGATTAGCCTTCTGAGATGGCCAATTTCAAAGCACTGCAGATATTGTATAACTGCTGAGAGGTTTGAGTTTTCTGTATCTTCAGCTCTTTTTTTGATTTCTCCCAGACTACGAAGACGACATCATCTGTTAAGCTATTGTTTGTGTGTGCTGCGCCTAGGTGGTAGTTATTATGCTATCGAAGGTCATATTCCATAAGACTGTACTGGCACATGATTCTTGTGGGCCTCTTCGGGGTTGTTTGCACTGTATGATAGCATTGTTATGAACGACGATCTGCTCGCGGTTTGAGAGGTAACTGGTGAAACCTTGATAAATGTTTGCTGGGTATTTTCCTTGTTTTGTCGCATGTTTTACAGTTGACGACCACAAGGTATTGAAAGCAATTTTAAGATCAAGGCTGAGGATGGTTGTGTGGTAGCTGTTGTGCCTATTCTCCAGGAAGCAGTTTTGCATAATTATGTGTGCATGTGTGGCACATTTCCCTTCTCTAAAATAGTATTACTGCTCGCGGATAGTGTTACCTTTTTGTGGGTATGCTTTTCCTTCACGCACAGTCTGAAATCATTCAAACTAGTCTTGTAGAATCATTGTTCCTAATTTTTGACATCAAAGAGCCTTTCTTTTAAATATTGGACTGTCAGCTTATATGTAATTTTCAAATCTATAAACAGATAATGTTTAATATTTATTAGACAAATAGGTCGTAGGATTCTCCACTGTGTAATTCTAAGTTACTGTTAAAAGTGAAGAATCTTAAGAACTAGTAAGCGAATAATCGTTTGAGAATCGCGTGAGACAATAAATAAACTTAAAAAGGGTTGAAAGACCCTTTATTATTCAAATTAGATTTAACAGAACTCCGTCTTGGAGTTGTACAATAGAGCTGACACTTGGGCTTGAACTTAAGAGACTAAGAATCAAACTAAACTAATCTTATTTAAAGAGATATAGCCGAAGTTATGAATATTATAACATAGTTAGCCCCTTAGCGCTAATTGACTGCGAAGCTATCAAGGGCCTAAAGTACAGCCGAGCGTAATAATAGCTTACGAGAGAGTAGCCTAAAAAGGCGAACGCGTGCAGCCAGAATATCTGGTATCTCTCTCATTAAGACAGTAGAACTTCGCGGTTAAAAACCGCTCTTCCTCATTAGCATGCAAACGTGATTCCAAAAGTAAGTTCGGGACGGAAGTGGTAAGTTGAAATCAAGAAGCGATAGAAAAGGAAGTTTAACTCAAAATTAACATAATCCTTAGAAGTCTTTATTCAGTAACACAAACTGTTATTTAATTTTTAAATGACAAAAAAATACAAGTAATAATGGGGAGAATAGTTATAAAATGCTGCCTCGTTTTAACGAAGAGACCGGGAGACGAATTTAGCTCATAATATTGTGTTAGAAACGGACGATTCCTAATTGAATATAGCCGAATGTTTACGTGTTACAGGAAAGCAAACAAAGTGAAAATTCATATGTGCATACATTTTCAGCAGTGAACGTCAAAATCATTTTTATACAAGGCAATAAATTTCGCTAACAAAAGCTATAAAAAGTAAAAAACATAAGTCAAACAAAATGTAAAGAGTATTGTTTACTCAACTGAAAATTGTTTACTCAACTCAAAATTACATCATGTTTGTTTCGTATGCAGATATAATAAATGCTAGATGAGACTTTTACTTACGATACGTCGCAAAGCCTAGCTGTTATATTTCAATCTCTACGAAGTTTTCGTTTGAAATATTTGACCTGTTGAAACCGTTTAAGTAATATGCATATGACATGGAAGTGCCAAAGCAACAAAAAATCAGCTTAATGTTAAACAATTTCTAGACTATTTTTTGTAGGTTTAACTATAAACGGAAGCGACACTTTAGCCATTTGTATTTATACAGCTGGAGAAGAAAGCTCTATATTCGAAAAGAGTCCTGTAAATTTATAAATGCTATCTTCATTTTTGTTACCTTAGTACCTCTAATAATCATTATTTGTCGTAATAGTTCAACTTAGGTATGTCTAAGCATGTTTTAAAAAATTATAATTTAGACATTTTCGAGACTTCAGCCGGTTAGCTGTCATGTTGCCGAAATTCATGCAGACTTCGAGTTTTTAATTTGACAGGCTATAGATGGGTAATCGTATTACTTTGAGATTGTGGTTTTAGACTCTTGAGGAGAAACTATGACGTTTGAAAATTAATTATTTTCGTAAACGCATGATTTTGATGTTGTTACATTTACACGGGATTCTAGATGATATTCGAGCAATGCCTCAAAGTTCTGCATATCGAATTTCACTATAACAGAAAAACAATGTATACGCATTTCCACTGTTCCATAGTTATTGGTTAAATATTATGCATTGATAAGATATAATGCAGGCTACGAAATACTCCGTGAGAATATTTGACATACCAGAATTTTCAATATCAGCCATCACAAAAACTAAAGACGGCCAGATATCTGTCATAGCTCATTATTGAAGCGTTCTACAGTCAATGCATACTTATGCAATTGCGCAATCATTGACAGTAGTATATGTGATGATAAAGATGCGAAACCACGGTTTTCGAGGTAGACGTTAATATTGTTAAGCAAAACGTAAAAATTTACGTAAATAATTTACGTAGAAGAAAGTATAAATAACAATCTTCATATAAAGTAATTGTTCATGCATTTTAATGAATAATCCTTGACAATATATGACTACTAAAACGCAGTAAAAGTCAATGCAGAATCAAAAACCTTTCCCATTAAAATTTAAACGTATTTTCACATTAAAATTTAAACGGATGATGAAATTTCAGTGGTCACATTTTAAAAACGGTAAAGTTCTAGGTTGTTCACCTGTGTAGCTTAGTTTGGCATTTAAAAAATATTCAGTAATATGCTCGTTATTTCATTTTGTTCTATAATATATTTCCTGTTCTTATCTTAGAGAGACACTCGAAGCAGCTCTCTGCCTTCATCGTAAATTTTAATAAATAAAACAGTGAATATAAATATTTTGTATTGCTATTTTCTGTTTATTTGCAGGGGTCCAAATGTGGGCTGTCCTTGTCCTGACAGTGATGGGTATCCAGGTTGCATCTCCCTTTCAAATTGGAGCCTCAGACAACAAGTAGGTATATTCTATCATTTATTATACAGATTTTTTAGAGACCGCTTCTTAAGGGTGCGTCTTCATAAAAGTGTTGTGTTCATGTACTTATGTAGGTCAACAGCAATTCGAAAAAGTAGAAATCTTCAAAAAGTGACTCGGCATAAATGGGCACTTTCCTTTCAAAAGTTCAGTTTCTAATTTGAAAAAAGCGAGGAAAAAAAAATAAGTAAAAAAAAAAAAAGGTTTTACAAGGTTTCTGGGCACACATAATCAAGGTCCGATTTTCATTTGTAAATGTAAATCGTAACGCAACATACAAGTGCTTTGACAAAATGTGCCTGCATCCTTGCTAAGGTTACTTTTATAAGTTACAAAGTGATCTTCATAAGGTTGTGTTCAGCTTTATACCGAGGTACCTTTATGAAAGTTTCCGTCTTTTCGACTTGATGGCTACCTTCATAATGGTACGGGAACCTTCATAGCGGGGCACTATTATTTTTGTCACTCCGCTTAACTTACAAACCAAAAGCATACTCAAAATGACGTTACTAAACTTATCGGCAAGCAAATTTTTTTTACCTGTATAAATCCTGAGTAAGCTTTTCCTTTGAAAGTAGATCCGAAGCTTTGCATTCTGAAGTCAGCTCAACTCAATGTGAAATCTAATAGAGAGTAATTAAATCAACTCGTCATTAATTAAGCATTTTTTAATACTACATACTAAGTAAAAATACTTATATTAGTAATAAATTAAATAGCCCCCACATACAATTGTGTTCCTTCGAATTAATGTCTCTTAACCAAAACCGACGAGGCGTCTGTTGGCGAAATCAAAACGTTCTACAGTAGTTAGACCGTTAGACCGTGGGTGCAGTCAGACGAAGTGAAATATGAGATTTGAGACATCCTGGCCACATTTGAGTTTTTTTAATATCAATAGAAACTCAATTATAAAGGCGTTTTCCTTTTATACACGTAATTTAAATATCAGAGTGGTATGCAAACTTATATTTGGGGTTGATACTTACTACTTTTGTGTTATTATGAACTTGTGTCATTATGAACATAAATTCTTTAGAAAAATTTATTTGAATTTCTGCATATCGTGAAAATAAATAAAGACAAATGTATATCATAAAATAAAATAAAGAAAATAAATAAAGACAAACATATAAAAATAAAGACAAATGTATATCACAAAATAAAAAATGAAAATTCACGTGGTTTCTATTTATATCCAGAAAGCACAGTTCCCGAAAGCGGTAGACCAGAAATAGTTTTTTTTTCACACAAAATAAAACTTTGCATTCGTTGCATTCTGATTTATTTCTTCTGGGCTTCATTTTAACGTTTCAACAGAGCATTTTCACGATATTGTCTTGATTGGGCTGATTCTCTTTTCTTCAAAAGCGCCTTTTAGCATGTACTGAAATTTTATGTCATTTGTTGCTATAGGATACACTACATGGAAACTTACTGTAATTATTCATTTATGTAAATAAGCAAAGGAAGTGCATAAGAATCCTCACCTCAAAGAATATTAAATGTCAACACAAAGCAGAATAAGCCACCAGTGAATGCAGGGTATAAAATAATAAGCAATTTCAAAAATGTAACATTTAATGAATAAAATTATTTAATGGATTTTTCTATTTGAATATTTCTGTAATATTTAATATTCCTTTTCAAACTATAGGTGCCTTCTATCAGAACAATTAATTAACTTAAATGGATCGTATACTTTAACGACACCTTTAAAAGAACTTCACCGCAGTCATACTTATACTTCTGCGAAAACAACTTCACATTTGAAATGGAGAACATTTTGCGCCAGGAAATGAATCGGACTTCGTTGTTAAAAACTGCACACATTATAGCAGTGTTTGATAATATGAAGTTCCTATTTATTTATTTCACATCGAAACTTTGTACAATACCACTAGGAAAAGGAAAACTGATTAAAAGGAATTTATTCCGAGCTCTTTTGCTTTCGGAATGCATAACTTCGGTATTTATTCCGAGCCAGAGGATGGTATGAGTAACGCCTTTTGTTAATTACACCGATAGAATATATGTTATAATAAATTATCAGTCAAATGTGCTGTAAAGAATATTACAATAATTATCAATTAATCAATTAGATGTACTGTAAACAATATTACAGAATTATTATTGGGATGCACTGTAAATATAATTTAAAAATATTCTAATTCAGAATTCAGAAATTTACTTTAATTAAATATGTAATTTTTTACAAAAGGTAATAGAAGATAAAGAAATGAAACGAAGATTGTAAGTTATTGAGAAGTACGCACATCGTATTAAAATCTCTCAGTTTCAATGCTGATTAGCAACACACTGTTTGAAAGGTAAATTAAAAGTCCTATGTTTAGAGATGACAATAACTTTCAGAATTCATATTTTGTGAGACTGTATCAATGAATAATGTTATAATACTATAACGTAACATAACGGGATACGGAAAATGGAAAATCGAAACTAAAATAAATAACAAAATAGAGAACATCATTCTAAAGACATCGGATTACAGTTCTAATAATTCAAAGAAGAGTTTATCACTAAAAATTTCAAAAAAATTAAAAAATTCAAACTGTACATCACAAAAATTAAAGAAAAAGATTTTATACCAGTTACGTAATATATATATTGCATTAAAAACGTATTTCATTAATTACAACAAAACTGAAAATACTCATAAAAATTATTTAACGGCTATATTGCAAATTAAATCCATATCAGTTAGATATCTTATTAAAAATATGATGTGTAACCACATAACTACCTTGTACGAAATATTAAATTATACGCATTTTTCCTTGCATTTCATTTACACTTCTTGGATTGAATTAAATCTACTTCGCCGACAGCGCATAAACCACAATAGAAACAATGCATTCTTTAATTCACTCTATTTGTTTACCATAGCGACACTCTGGCGCTAGATTCATTTAACAGTATTATATTTCGTTCATATTATAAATCAGAATGCACAAAATTTATATCATTTAAAGGATTATCTAATCGTTGCCACATGTTCTGTTCAAATATTATAATAAAGCTAGAACTATGTATAAAAGAAATTAAGCAAATAAAACAAAAAAGAAACAGTTTTTCACAGACGATTGAGTATTTCTCATTCAATTAATTCAGTTCTCACTTCGCGACAAGGCAAAATCATAAAAACTCAAAATATATGTATTAAAAATTACGAAGTAATCTTAAACACTTATTTCCTCGAAAAAATTCCATAAGGATTAAAGCATGATTTAATTCGCAATAATAATGAAGGCGTTATCTTGTTTTGCGAAGCTGAGTTCACTAGATGACAACAAATCCACTAGTCTGCTGTTTCAAATGTAAACAGCAATGGCCGCCATCAAAAAATTATTAGACTTAGCGGCACTTAAACAACTTTAAAATTGTTGATAATTCTAAAAATATTGCAATACAGATTTACTAAAAGCATAAAAACCTTAACAGAAGATAAGAACAACATAATTCAATCATTTTTAAAGCAAAAATGTACAATTTACAAACATATAGAGTAAAGAAACTGAGATCACTGAGCCGGGTAACAGAGTGGATATATATATATATATATTTATATACGTTTTGGTGCGGTCCGAATTGGAACCCAAAAAAAGGTGCACAACACATATTATAGCAGTCCTGTATGCAAAATTTCAACGTTCCGAGGCTACTCGTTTTTTGAGTTATGCGAGAATACGTACGTACATACGTTCGTACATACAGTCGCCACGAGCAAATTCTCTTCTGAATTCATATTAAATTAGTTTTGTAATTCATTTTGGAGAAAAACAGTCCTTTATTCTGTCCTTACGTACAGATGTCATGTGAAAACATCATTAAATTGTATTCGAATAATGGTCAAAATGGATATTTTCGTTGAAATATGCTGCCTGAAACTTTTCCCGATTACAATACTTCCTTTTTACTTCGTACAAGGAAGTAAAAAGAACATTAAAATTTTAATTTTTTAAAGTCTGAATTAATTACTTTTAAATCTATCCTTTCGTTTTATATGTGGTGTATTAATTAAATCTGAAAGATAGATTAAAGATGTTAGGCTTTTTCGAAGTGTAAAACTATGTGAATTAGCTATGCTCGGAGACGCAATTAAAAGTCTTATACATCGCGGAGAGGCAATGCTTATCGATGTCTTGCTTTTAAATTCTCTTCCTTCATCTTCCTCGTTAGTTTTATAAACGCATGATAGTATTCATGAATTTGATTTTGCCAGGACATGATTTCATATGTTATACGAAAACAGCGCACCTAGGGGTGTAAAAAATGTCATACGAAAACACCTATGAAAAAGAAATGTTAGAGTTACATGAGATTTTCTGCACAATACAGCTGTAAGTGTTGCACTGTTTCAATTTGAGGAAATTAAGACAGGACTTTTGTAGACTTATTATTAAGACTTTTGTAGTTTATAAGAGAAAAAATACATCACAAGTCACAAATGTGTATCACAAAAATGGAGGATTGAAGCAGGTAATTTATTATTAGCAAATAATTTGAGAAAGGTTTTCCTGCAAAAGAGGCAGCTTCGTGAAGGAGTTTTGAAGAAACCTGGTTCATACTTATTTTAGACATTAAAAAAAAGAAGAAAGGAAAGAAAAGAAACCCTCTTCGTACAGCTCTATTTTTTAGATACCCGAATACAACAGCTCAAATGAAACGCTCATTATGTAATGTTATTGCATTTTAATCATCAGTTACCATAGAACGGAGACCTATTTTTTAAATTAACTAAAATGGTAATCGTATTTATATCTTGAGATATTATTTTTATACTGTTGGTGCATTAAAATAAATTAAATATCTTATACTATAGAAATGAATTACTTCAAAATGTTCAAAGTCAAAAGTAGAAACAAATGCATTTATATTCGGTTGCATCAAAATGAACAAAGAGAAATGTGAAAATTTGCAAAACATATTTAATGAAATAATAATTGAACCCCATGTTT